CTGGCACGTGTACGTCGATAGTATCACTATCGGGTGGCATTTTGATTACTAATCCACCTGGTCTGTGTGTTTTTCGGTGAAAAATAAGACGTGTCTAAAGTGATCACTTTAACAGCCTATAGCTCCACAGCGCGTGGCGTGCACGCTTTAAAGGTGATTGTAATCGATTTCTCGCGAGGGGTTTATATATATTTGACTAAAATTACACCTATTCTAGAAAACTCGAAGTTGTCTGTCTTCTAGAATCTAGTACAGCAAATATATATAGTAGTAGAATAGCTAGTAGATAGAAACCAGAGCAGATTACAAGAACAGATCAGACTACTAGATCAGATCAATCCAATCCTTATCTCTCTCCCCTAGCATTTCTCTCTTTTCATCCTAGAACCTATCGATTCGCTACCTCTGAGTCTATCGCTAGACAAGTAGACTACTATACCTCTGAGCTAGCTATAGAACAAGTAGCACCCTCCTTATTTCAACATTGTCTGGCGATACAGTAGAGTTAGCGTGCTTAAGGAGGGTTTAACAAGACTAATCTATTTAATAGACTAACTTATAACAATCTTGTTAAGTAAAGATACTAGTAAGAAAGTACAATTTGAGTTGACCACAACGAGAGTAAATAATGAAATCTATCTATCCTTATATCCTCATTGCTTCCAGTCCTAACATCTAGCTAAGCCCTTAACATCTCTAATATTACTGGCATCTCCAGATGTCCTGGCATCTCCTGATGTCCTGGCATCTCCTGAGGGTCTGGCATCTCCAGATGTCCTGCCTTGGCGAGATGCCACGTCACGTGATTAGCGCCCCGCGTTGATCATTACCTTCTGACGTGGACGTCCATAGGCCTTCCGCCATCTCGTCATTTGTCAAGGAGAGAATCCTTTTTGTTACTTGTAACAACTAAGACCTTATATATAGCCGACGCTTTAACACGCGGTATAGAAAAACGAGGACCTAGGGTATTAAGACGATAGCTCTAAAGGGGGAGGTAATATTATAAGTAATAACAGAAAGGATCCTCTCTCTAGTAATAAGAGTATAGTGGTTAAGGAACTACTTAGGATACTAACTAGGAACGATGGGTATTGCGGGGTAAGGTCACGTAATATGCTATCACGCTAAGACGGTGCTATTAGTAATAGCAGGTACCGTATGTGATAGTAACTATTAGAAGTAGAGATAGCTATTAGTGATGGCAGGTCGAAGTTCTGATGGCAGGACTAGAAGCAATGAGGATATAAGGATGGATGGATTTTATTATTTACTCTCGTTGTGGTCAACTCAAATTGTACTTTCTTACTAGTTACTCAACTTTATAAGATTAATACTTGTTAGTCTATTTAATATAGATTGGGCATTTGTTAAACCTTTTATTACCTTCTGTCCAAGCACGCCACTCCACTGCATCGCCAGACAAACCTCACGGAGCTCTTCACACCATCTCACTCGCCCTAACCCGGATCGAGCTTAGAGAAGTATCAGCACCCAACCCCGTGTAACAGTAGTAAGGAAGTTGCGTATACTATAAGCGGTATATATGCGCACGTTATTATGTATAAAAAGCTGCGAGGGCCGCCAGTAAGATAGGAGACCTCGTTTAAGGGTTTAGATATAACTTTAGCCGGTATAGCCACCACGGGGAGCATTAGGATCCCTATCTATAATCACGAGAGGACTACGTCGCCCCTAGCCGCGTTTATCTACCTATATAGCCCCCTATACTATTTACTGCGGGCCCTGGCTAGCACGAGCCTCTATTAGCATTCTCCGCTTCTATTTCTCTTCTAGATATTAAAAACACTACTCCTGTGTGGCACCAGAGCCCTTCTGAACTAAGCATTTATCTAAGAACTTAACCGTACGCCTATGCTAAGAAAAACTCTAGTACTAGCATACGAATATATAGCGCCTACGAGTATACTAAGGAGTCAGCTTATGTCGTTTTTTACAGCGGTACTTAGTAAGATTTCGACGTTTAAGGACTCAGCATAGTGTTTTATAGCTAGGGGCCTTTAAAGAGGTGCCATCTAGATGTATAAAGATAGCGACTTTAGTAAGGTCTTCGTATAGTATTTTTAGATCAGCGCGTACAGCACGATAGATTAGCTTCTGCTAGTAATGCGATAGTATAGATAGACGGCTAGAGCGAGGTTTATCTTAAGTAGTGCCAGTCTAGTTAAACCGGGCGTATAGTTTTCTAATAGCAGAGGGATCGCGTTTGAACACCTTTCCTACTTCTTTAAAGCTTGCGCCCGCGCGCACTATACCAATTGCAATATTACGTTCTTCAACGGTCATATTTGGACGACGGCGCACATTTTGGGACAGCTCCCGGCCGAATTGGCGCGGTACAGCGTTGGTGGTGGGCATTCAAAGAAGTTGGTGGCTTTGGTGTTGGTGGGGCGGAGGAGCTTACCGAGGCCGAACTTATGTCCCATGACTGTAATGATTACGAACCTCCATATTCCTGGGCAATCGGACATGGTCATATCGACGTCGTGCGTCTTTACATGGAAGCTAGGGTGAATCCCACCATTCAGAAAATCAGAGGCTCCACAGGTTTGCATATTGCTGTCGAACGAATGCAAGAGCCTACACTTATTCAACTATCCGGGGAGCACAGTGCAGACGTAAAGGCCACAAATGATGACGGAACGACTTTAATTCATCTCGCTGCAGCGAATGAACACGCGCCAGTGCTCGAATACCTTTTGCAAAACGGAGCGAACGCCGAGACGATTTACAAGAATAAAAGAACTCCGCTCATCGCTGCAGCACGCCACGGAAAGGGTTTCACAGTCGAGATGCGACCAGTGAGCAAATCTACCACTACACTGCGATTCAGGCAGCAGCCGCCAATGGGCAAGAGAAGATTGTAAAACGATTATTAAAGCTTAAACCAAACATAAACGAGATCTGAAGGGGCCAATGGAACACCTCTCTCTGCGGCAGTGGGATCAAAGAGCCTTATGGTCGACCGAACCCTACTAGAGTATGGGGCGGATATTAACCTCGCAGCAAGCAAGGGAACACCGTTGGAGCTTCCGATTTCGGCGGAATCACCAGAGATTACAGATCTCTGTTTTCAGTAGAAAGGTCTGGACGTGAATGTTGTCAGCGAAGGGAAGTTCGGCACCGCCTTACTCGCGGCTATTTCCCAGCACGATCTGACTATTATCACGAGACTATTGGAAAATAACGCCAACCCGAATCTTTACAGTCGAAAAAGGGGTGAAAACCCAGTTCAGATGGCTATCCGTAAAGACATGGGAGACGTCCTCGAGAGCCTAGTGGAAAAGGGTGCTAATCTTTCCTACCAGGATATCAGAGGCCGTGGGGTTCTTTCTTATGCTATTGCGCGGAACAGCATTGAGATTTTATTGTGCTTATGTGGCCAATCTATTGATGTCAATAATCAGGACAATGCCCGCCAAACACCACTTATATTTTCAACCATCGGAGGTATTCAAGGTTTTGATGTTTTTTGGGAAATTGCTGGAACTGAAGGTGGATGTCAATCACCAGGATCGATGGGGGAAGACCGCATTGATGTATGCAGTTACTACTGACTATGCAGTCGCAGTCTCGAGGCTCATTGATTCCAAAGCGTATCTTTTACTGAAAGACATTCGTGGAAGAGACGCGTTATACTGGGCTGTTCTAAGTTCCCGCCAAACCCATTGCAATGTTCTGTTTACGGCTATGTATGATGAGGCTCCCCCATCACATTTCCAGAATGCACTGGATGCAGCAGCGGCAGCAAACAGAGCTGGTTTTGCGGAGATGCTATTGAAGGAGTATTAACACAAGGGTAGACAAGCAGATGATGATGGCTAGACTTCAGCCTCAGCTGCACCGTGATATCGGTGCTCTGCTATCAGTGCGTTAGTTCATGATGCGTCAAATTTCAGCCACATTTTGGGACGATAAGCAGGACCAAAATAACGGTTTCAAATTCAAGGGACCATGGACGAATCCGAAAACATTTCAACCACTGCAAGAGGAGAGAAAGAATGGCAGTAGTTGGGGAAGAGGCGAATTCAATTGGAGCTCGTCAGGGTCCGACTCGAATAATTAGGTGGCTGTGTGGTTAATGCATAGGAGCAGGGTTAGAATTGAGGTAGAAACCCCCTGCCGTGGATAGAGACGTCTGCCTTTCGAGCTCCAAGGCCCGTGCGGGACTTGGCGCTGCGCGCCTAATTGCCTACCCATCTATGACTCCCCTTGGTATGCGTCCTTCTTTTTTTCATCCCATATATAAAAAATCTGGAGCCTCATGACTGTGTTAGAGTATGACTAGGTTGTGTGCATAAGGATAAATACTGCACCCCTCCCTCTACAACCCTCATCACAACCACGTCGTCTTCCTTCAGCAATGACTATCAGAAAGCCTCATCCGCCCTTTGGGCACCCGATGCGCTCAGCACACTTTCAATTTGCTCCAACCTATAAACCTCTGAACCACGGCTCTTTTGGTACGCACCCAACTCCTGTACGGGAGGCGTATTACGCTCTTCAAACTACCGCAATTGAACGACCCGACACATTCGTTTCATTCATTACATTCCCTCTTCTCGCCAAATCCCGCTCTGCAGTTGCTCCTTTGCTCGGAGTAAATCATGATGAAGTGGTTTTCGTTCCTAACGCCACGACGGGTGTCAATACCGTACTCAGAAACATCAAGTTTGAAGATGATGATGTAGTGCTCACGTTCTCGACGGCGTATCCAGCATGTGTCAAGACTATAGGCGCCATTGGTGAGATTCTACCGGTCAATTGTGAGAAGGTCGAGTTGGTGTATCCTGTTGAGGACGAGGTGATTCTGGAATCGTTCAGGGAGAAAGTAAGGAGTTTGAGGGCGGACGGGAAGCGGGTGAGACTGGCGATGTTTGATACGATTTCAACATTTCCTGGGGCAAGGCTTCCGTGGGAGGATCTTGTAAGGATCTGTAAAGAGTTGGATATCTTGAGCTTAATTGACGGAGCGCACGGTATTGGTAAGCAAACATTTTTCCGAGAAAGAGTGAAAGGACACTAGAAAGAATTGCTGTAGACTGACATCCATTCAGGGATGATCGATTTAACTCACCTTGGCAAGGTTAATCCGGATTTCTTTGTGAGTAATTGCCACAAGTAAGTCTGGACGCGACAGTGTTGCCAAGGGATTGTTTACTTACCATCCAAGATGGCTCTACACGCCTCGCTCCTGCGCCGTCTTCCACGTCCCCTTCCGCAACCAGCATCTTATCCGAACCTCAATCCCCACTTCGCACGGTTACCAATACCCTGATCAACCCGAAAACACCAACGGCCGCAGCCCCTTCATCTTCATGTTCGACTATGTCGCAACCATGGACTACACACCTTACCTATGCATTCCAGCCGCCCTCGAGTTCCGCAACCAGGTCTGTGGAGGAGAGGCCAAGATCCGGGAGTACTGCTATGACATTGCTCGGAAAGGCGGAGATTGTATGGCCGAGATCCTAGGAACACATGTATTGACCACGAAGAGTGAGACAATGAGACAGTGTGCGTTTGCTAATGTCGAACTGCCATTGGTATTCAAAAAGAAAGAGGAGGTTGATCAAAGCAAAGGAGAGTTGGATATTGATGACGCAGTGAAGATTGCGGCTTGGATAAAGAGAACGGCTGCCATGGAGATGGACACATACTTTCAAACTGCATTCCATGCTGGGAAGCTATGGGTCAGGCTTAGCGGACAGATCTACCTGGAAGTAGATGATTATAAGTGGGCAGCGCCAAAGTTGATGGAATTGTGCGAGAGAGCGAAGAGGGGAGAGGCAAGTGGTGTTGTTGTGGCAGATAGGGAAAAGGTGATTACATGAAATAGAAGGTAAGATGTTTACAGAAGAGGAAGCCCTAGGTTATTTATGCTATATTTAGTGTTGATTTCCAAAAATGTCTGGTGCTAGGTGAGCATTGGTCAACCGAAAGATTCGCTCATATTTCCATGTAATGACTTGATGATGTCATGAGATGGAACAATCCATATTATAATCGCCAGTGTCTTGACAACAAAATCATTCTAACGATCGCCAGTAATAACACATTCGAATAAGTGTTGAGAGATTTTCGTATCTGACGCTCATAGTTGCAGGCTGGACAAAATTAATACAATATTCTGCACAGACGAGCGTGCGAATACCTCGGAAACAGACTCTTGTATGCGCCTCAAAATTTCCAGACCAAGTCTAAAGTCAATCGGATGCTTTGGTGCTGTTTCAGGTCTCGGCAAAGACATGAAATAGAAAACACCAACACGCCGGTATGCGTCTTGGTTGATTTTGAATAAGAGCAAACCCGATGGTCCAGGTCTTTTCAACTTATCGAATTGGCAGATCTGCAGGCAGTATGTTTCTTGAATGCCAACCGATAATTCCTACTCAGAATTGTCCCAGAATGTAACAATATCTCTCAGATTTATGGACCTGGTATCTTGAGGTTCGAAACAATTTCGTGCGTTTGATGGTAAGAATGCTCTGCTCAAATGTCCTTGAATAGTGAGAGACCCTGGGGAGACTGCACCATGAGGTGCTTCAATATGAGCCAGCTTTATGTTTGAGTCCGTTACTTTGAGATCAGGATCAATATTTGTAATAATGTCCTCAAGCCAAGATATCATACCGTTCAAACTAGCCCAGCTCCGGGAGGTTGCACGGTACGTGTCGTCTTGTAGCTTGTGTGCTTGATTGTGAAGCCATAGCAATGCTAAAGGGAGGTGGGAGTGCCGTAGGCCAGCCAGATAAGTATCGTCGGGTCTTCGTCCGCTCCAAAACTCTGCTATGCCTGACATTGCTTGAAGCTTGTCGGCAGGAAATTTGAGCGCGCGTCTTGAATAATTCCACGCCAATTTCATCCAGGTATCGCATTCCTTGAAGTGTGGATGTCAAAAAGAGGGGTCTGTTGTGCCATCGCAAGCAAGGAATTCTTGTTTAATCGAATGAAATATTGAGAGCTTGAGATGTGGGCAGCGAAGCCTCGAGCGGACTTTCTCATAAATCATCAAAACATCCATCAAGGCAGCCGCTAGGGCTGGAGAGTGCGGGGCAGTACTGCGGCAGTTTTGAGGCTGTGCCCGCGGGTTGACGTGATTACGTCATCCTAGATTAGTTAGTTAACGTCAAGGATCAGTCATCCGGCCAGATCAGTCATCCGGCCACCCCACCAAACCTGACCCGACGCGACACACGATAAATCCACAACAACAAGGTAAGATTAGATAGAATATCAAAATATAGTTAGCTATCAAGTTCTACATGAAGTCCGAGTGTGTCCTTGAATATGGCACTTTGTACACGTCGGCGGCGCGCGCTGACGTCGCTGACTGCCCTCACCCTGCTCAACCTCTGCGACTACCCTTTCTACCTCTATAGTAAGCTGCTGAGCCTGCTGCACCTGAAGTACTCCACCAGAAGCGATATATTGACGCTGCCGATCTTTCTTCTGTCGCCGGAGCTTACTGCCTTGACGTAGCTTCTTATTTTCTTTAGCAAGTATTGTCGCTGATTGCATTGCAATCTGACAGCCTTTAATAACTTGGCGAAGAAGCTGGCTTGTTGGGCTCTGAGATTCCCGGTGGAGCCGGTCTTCAAGATATTTTGCCTGCTGCTGGAGCTGAGCTACCGTATGGGGTGTCCCTGCCTGCTAGGCGATATCGGCGACGTTATTTTCTGTAGCTGTCTGTAGTGAGATGTGTACGGACGACAGTCAG